TTTTTTAAGTGTTTTTGGTCAAAAATGACTTCAATAATTTTCGTGTTTTTGGCTAAAAACAGCTTCAATAATTTTTCTAAAAAATTGAAGTCAAATATTAAAGGCTTTTCTAGTTAGAAACGCCTTTAATAATCCCTTGAAAAATTCAAAAAATGCTAAAGGAAAGAATCAAACCTATAACCTTATAATTAACAACTGTATACTCCAACCATCAACACTACTCTATTTTTTACAAATTTATTGACAAGGAGATTTATTGAAGGCATTTTTGAGAAAAAACGCCTTCAATAATCCTCTACAATTTTTTAAAAAAATTATTGAAGGCGTTTCTGATAGAAAATACTTTCAATAATCAATTTTATTTTTTATGAGCAGATTATTTAAGGCATTTTTTACCTGAAATGCCTTCAATAATCACTCTAATTTTAGCAGATAAGATTATTCAAGACGTTTTAGTCGATAAACACCGTTAATTTTTGTCTTTAACGACGTTTATATGTATAAACGTTACTATTTGAATATTTAGTAGCGTTTGAATAATAAACGCCTGAAGTTTTATAAAAACACGAAAGTTAACGACGTTTGTAAGTGAAAGGCCGTTATAAAACTGTCGCTAATACATCATTTTACTGTAGTATCCTGCATAATAATAGATAGATTCTTATAAGCAAGTTGATTGTTTGATTTCTTATTTTAATAAAAAATTATATTTATATATAATTAAATTATAATTTATATTAAAAAATAAATATATTTATATTTAAAACATAATTTAAAAATAATAATAAAAATAATCTCGTAACAAATGCAAATCTAATTCTAATATAAATAAAAGATCCAACACCTGCAATATAAATTTCTTTTTTAAAAAAATTGTCTTTCCTTAAAATGATTTATTTTTCATTAATTAATAAATTATTTTCACTGGTCAATTTTTTATCAAACTAACTAACATTAAATAATATAAAAATTATTTTTTGAAAATATAATTTTCGATTAAACATCGGAGCTTTAAGTTTCAATTTGTTTTTTGTTTATTTATTTATTTTTATTTCTAATCCAAATTAATATAGTAACAATGATAAAAATAAGTGATTTTTCCTTATCACAAAAAAAAAAAAATCAAATAAATTGATCCTACCTAAAGAAACAGATTAAATCAGACAATGAAATTTATATAATCATTTTTAATAAAATTTTTTTAAAATTTTACATAAAAATGTTCTTCTAAGTCTCGTTCTCTTGAAAAAGACTTAAAAACAATTGAAAGTTTCTTTAAAAAAAAAAAATATCATCTCTTTCCTTTTTGTTTGAACGTTGTGTGTCGCTTTGACGATGAAATTCAATACCTGAAGATTATTTGAACCATTACATCAAAAAGAAAATCATTGTTGCCGTTTGCCAAAGCCTCAGAACTAAAAACATTTTCTGATTTTGTATTATTCACTATTAAAAATATATATATAAAAACAAAATTATATTTAAGTGGTATATGAGAAACTGAGATTTCAATTATTATAAGGAAATAAAGAAAACCAAAATAAATCTATAAATATATTTACATGTAATAAAATTAAAGCCACATTTTATAACTGAGGTATCTGGTTAGTGGTTTGAAAACGACGTCGTGTCAGGTTATTCATTTTTGGCGTTCCGACGGCTTATCCTTTTGTATACACTCTCAAAAGTCGCTTCTTCGTTCGAAAGCAAGACGTAGTGGACGCAAAGACTCAGAATAATGCTATCCTTGCGCTTCGCTATTCCAACCGCGAATACTCTAACTCCCTCCAAGCCTAAACCAAAACCTGGTTTAGTTCCAACCGCTGCGAACCAGACAGACCTTTTTTCTTCTCGCTTTTCTATTCCCAAACGATGGGATTGTAAGCTTCAAGCAGCTACCTCGGACGAAGCGAATGCAAAGATTTCTGTCATAGAGGAGGAAGAGGAGTTTCCGGCGGGGCCGAGGAAAGAGTTGTTGCCAAGGCACGTAGCGGTGATCATGGATGGGAACGGTCGCTGGGCTCGCCAGCGGGGATTGCCGACTTCTGCTGGGCACGAAGCCGGTGTAAAGTCGCTGAGGGAGCTCGTGGAGCTATGTTGTCGGTGGGGGATTCAGGTTCTCACTGTCTTCGCCTTTTCTTCTGAGAACTGGATTCCCTAAGGTAATAAAGTTATATATATATATAGAACTAATTACATTTTTACTTCTTCAAAGTTATTATGTAAAATATAAAAATTATGGTTTATAATTTATATTTATAAGGTAAATATAAAATATATATTTTTTATAAAAATTTTATATAAGTTTTGTTAAAATTTTAATCTATGTCGCTTTTTTTTTTTTTTCACGTTATGTGTTATCATGTATTGTTTAAATTTATTGTCTCTAATTTTTTATTAAAAACATAGTAATTTTTTAGAGTGATTATGAATAAGGGAATAGTAATAATGCAGGCGGAGGTTGATTTTTTGCTGAGTTTGTTTGAGAAAGGATTGAAATCAGAGATAGAGACTTTTTCTAAGTATAGTCCATCAATCTTAATTTTGAATTATCTATATTGCTTTAGATTCATGGGGTGTTTCCTTGAAATTTACCATTTTTTTATGATTATCTGATCATAATTTTCTGGATCAAAAGGGGAGGCATTCGAATATCTGTGATAGGGGATTCATCAAAGCTTCCCACATCACTGCAGATGTTGACCAATGAGGTGGAGGAGACCACAAAAGAAAACACCAGACTCCAAATCATTGTAGCAGTTAGCTACAGTGGAAATATGATGTTGTACAAGCATGCAGAAGCATTGCTGAGAAAACAAAAGATGGCCAAATTCAGCTGGAGGACATCAATGAAAGCGTGGTTGAAAAAGAATTGGAAACGAACTGCACAGAGTTTCCATACCCAGATTTGTTCATCAGAACCAGTGGTGAACTTCGAGTCAGCATCTTTTTGTTGTGGTAGTTGGCACACACGGAGCTCTTCTTTGCTCAAGAACTCTGGCCTGATTTTGGAAAGGATGAGTTTGTAGATGCTTTAACTTCATATCAGCAGAAGCAGCGACGCTATGGTGGAAGACATTCATGATCTATAGTCGGTTCATAATCAGCAGCTGACAGCAAATCTATGGTCTTAAATGAAGCTAGTTGCAGCTCTTAAATCTAAGAGGCAAAGCATATTTGGTCCATTAAGCACCTCGAAAATCAACATGTTCAAGATGTAATTAATTGTATGTATAAGCTGATGTCCGAACATGGCTTCTCTAATTGGGAGGTCATAGGCTCATAGCCATAGATGTCTAATAAAGCATTGCTTGTTTCTCTTTTCCGCCATCTGGTACATGCTTCATATGATTTTATGATCAGGATATCCTGCAACAGATGAGGTGATTGGCATACTGCAATCATTTTCCAATCATTGATGTTTTAGATGCTTGGATGATTAGTGCTACTTGTTCAATTATGCAGGGCTCACATAATTGGCAAGACAAAATTTTCCAGCCGTATGTTGAGTTTTTTATTTGTTGAAGGCTTATCTTCATTTCTAGCCAACCATAAGATGAGATTATCATGTATAATTCCTGTTTTTCCTCCGAACAAGAAACAGGCAGCAATAATAGAATCTTCAAGGGCTTTGATACCACTTTCTTGTTTTGGATGATGAGTTTAGGATTCATATCTTCTTCTGTTACAGCAGTGTATTTCCTTTTGTTTTCACGACGAAACTTATATGAAATTATTTAAGTGAAGTTAACGAAATTCTTCTTTTAAAATAATTTAATAAAAATTTTAATAGAAATTTAATTTGATAGATTTATAGAGTTTAATATGAAAATTAATAATATGTACAAAAATTATTAAATATATTATTTATAATTCAAATTTGATCGATACTTATTTAAGAGTAAAAATTTTATCAATATTTTTATTAAAAATATCTATTTAATAAATATATTAAAATTTTTTAAAATTTTACATATTTAATTTATGTGATGAGATTTTTTAATTTACAGATTTTAATTTTAATTTATTCATTTTTACTATAAAATTTTATGTAAATCTTTCCCTTGTTTTCAAGCCAACCTTCATTTCATCCAAAATAAAAAAAAAAAACCACGCCAGTAGTGTATTATTTTTTTAATAATGGATTTAAGAATTTTTTAGATGTCTACTTATGGTATTAAAAAAAAAAACTATGATGATTTACCAATTTTATTAACATAAAAGATATTTTAAATTTTTTTTGAATGTATTAAAAGAATAATTTTCTTTTTTAATCTTTAAGAATGTCAATAAATACTCTAATTCTCCATTTGAATTTATTTTTATTTTATTTTTAATTTAAAATTTAATCTAATTAATTTATATAATCAAAATACTATTTAATATATTAAAAAATTTAAATCCCAACATCTTTAATTTCTTATATATATATATATATATATACATTAAAAAAAGAAACTCTAGCACAAAATTTATCCTAACTTCCAATCATTTTAACTTCAATGAAAACCACAGTAAAAATAAAAAGATGACAATATTTAAGTAAAATTCCCAAACATAAATTCTCAAAAAATATGAGTAAGACAGATTATCACTTATCCAAAACCCATAATTAATTCCTTAAGGGGACAGATTATAAAGTATGCAGAACCAATAATTAATTCCTTAATCTTCATTGTAATAAAGGTTATTAAATTAACAAATAATATATTTTGGATAATCTAATGTGGTGTGGTATACTATTATTCAACCGATCCTTGGTTTTATAAAACCTTAGGCGCCGCCACCAGGTTTAGTAGATTCCCTGCTGACAGTCACAAGCCATTCATTTCATCTGACCAGTCTTACGCCATATCATCACCAGTTGGGCATGAAAAATCATTCATCTTGTTTATTTCTTCCACGTTGTCGGCGTTTTACAACAAAAGCACAAAACGACTGACAACTGGCAATCAATTATCAGATTAGGTTCAACTAAGGACAACATCGTAATTTCAGAACCCTTTTCTCTTTCCTTTAAGACGTCGTAAGTCTCGTTACTGACGATAGTGTTTGGAGACTGCAGTTAAGTTCGTCGCTGATTACGATTTTTTTTTCCCAAATTACAATAATACCATTTTATTTCTCTGTTTAGGTTTTTTGGGGATTCTCTTTAGCTACCTGATTTTTGTGTTTGTTTGATGGGAATAATTTTCCGGGATAATAACTGGTCATGGGAAAGTCGTCTTTCAAGGATTCACTCAAAGCGCTCGAAGCTGATATTCAACACGCCAATACTCTGTATATCTCTTTTCTCTTTTTATTTGATTATATTTTTTTCGCTTTTTCTGTTTAATTTTTTTTATTTGCTGGGTTTTTCTACTTAATTTTTTCTTTTAATTGTGATTTCTTAAGCACTGTTTGACTTGCAACTTATATTTTTTCAGGAAGAAGTGATTTTTTTTTCTTTCAAAATATAGCTGAGTACTTTTCTTCCCCAAAAAGGAAAATTTCTACTCAAAAAAAGACCAAACTTGAATGAAGATCGATGGATTTTTCTCCAATAATTGTTGACTTTGTTGGGGTTGATTGTTTCCGTACTTTGTGTTTGACAATGAAAGAGTAAAGACAAGAACTTTTAAATACTTGTAATCCAAATTGTCACATTGTTTTTATCAAACAATGGGAGAAGACTATTGCGAGGATATTAGATACATGGTAACTGGCAAGACAATGGTATCTAATTGATAGGATTATTGAACATTGTCCTTAAAGTTGTATATGTTCTAATGGGGATCCAACTGAATGACTAAAATTTCATTAATCCATGGTAATGTCAAAGATCACAAGAGATCAATATGAGTAAAGACACTCTGTTTTGAAATTCTTTTTGTTTTGTTATTGGCACGGCTTGATGGTTAACCCTGTATTGTTGGCTGCTTTTGCCTGTTTGATTTCAGGGCTTTGGATTATCCAAGGGAGAAAGATGGAGCACGTCTTCAAATGAGACTGTCCTACAGTCCAGCAGCCCAGTTTTTCCTTTTCCTTGTTCAGTGGACTGATTGTCAACTTGCTGGTGCTCTTGGTTTGCTCAGGATACTTATTTATATGGTATGTTTCTTTCCACCACACAATTTTCGGTGAAACTATCTTTTGCTCTTGCAATTGTTTGTTTGTGCTTCATTTAACTCCTCCACCTCTCCTTCTCAGCAGTCCCTCCCCCAAGTCTTTCACTATTCTTTTGTCTTGTTCAAAATCATAATATGTTACCCAATAGTTACTTACAATGTGGCAATCTGTTGGATTGATGCAGACCTATGCTGATGGCAAGACCACCATGTCTGTTTATGAGAGAAAAGCCAGCATTAGAGAATTTTATGGTGAGTGAGTATTTGAGAGGTCAAAATTTTTGTTAGAAATGCTTACTCTTTCTCTCCCTCTTAACTATTTGTGCTGACAAGGTTGTTTAGCACATTGAAGTGAAATCTAGCTCACTAGTTTGTTTTTCTTAAACAGCGGTTATATTTCCTTCTTTATTGCAACTTCAAAGAGGTATCACCGATTTGGAAGATAGGAAACAGAAAGAAGTGTGTGCCATGAGGTACCGTAGGAAGGATGACTTTGAAAAGGGGAAGCTCCCTGAAATTGACATAGAAAGGGAAGAGGAGTGTGGGATTTGCATGGAGATGAAAGGCTTGGTTGTATTGCCTAATTGCATCCATTCTCTGTGTTTGAAGTGTTATCGGGATTGGTAAGTTTTTCCTTTCTCCGAGTACAACATCATAGTGTATTACTAATTTACTATTATGTAATATATATATATATATATATGTATGTTTATATATATATATATATATATATATATGTAGCCATCTTATTTTCTTGCCTGATCATTTGGAACTGTGATTTGGGTTGATGATGGTGTGTATGTTGTACATTCTTGAGTGAAACCTTTTTATTCTTCAGTAGTAGTACTTTTGGTATGGGCAGTTACCATTCATGAGGATGACTAGCCAGTTTACTGCGTTGAAGTTCAATGTTTGCATTCTGTTATTGGTTCATGATTCATGTTCCACTCTTCCTTTGTAAGTGACCTGATGGTGTTGTACTTCATGTTAATTTCAGGCATGGCCGGTCTCAGTCATGTCCCTTTTGTCGGGATAGTCTCAAAAGGGTCAACTCTTGTGACCTTTGGATTTACACAGAAAAGAGTGATATTATTGATTTATCATCGATTCTCAGAGAGGATTGTAAGAGGCTCTTCATGTACATTGATAAATTGCCTCTTGTTGTCCCCGATCCTGTATTTGTTCCCTTTGATGTTCATGTTAGGTGAGTGCTTTAATACAGGGCATTATCACTGCCTGTATATAACTAGCATGGCTGTATATCCATATGAAACATACCATTTTGAAATGTAAATGCTTTCTGGCTATGTCTCTGAGTGGTTTCAAACTGTGTCGATTTCAATTTCCTAAAAAAAATAACAATACTAATGATAATGGAAAGTTTGAAGAAATAAAATGCAGGAGTCAAGGTCATTTCCCCATGATTACAGTGGCTGGCAAGCTTATGACTGATTTTGCATTCTCATATAATCCGCATAGAAACGAGGTTGATTTTCTTCCTGGTTAGCATTATAGGCGTATCCTCCATGGCTGGAAATGTCTAGTCCTGCAATTTCCTCCTCGACAGATATTCTCAGGATTCCTAGTTGATGAAGAGCATAGAAGAGAGGGCCCATTGTCAGGCTTACCCAGGTCACAATCACCAAAACCTCGATCACTTGGCATCCAAGCAGGCCCCAGCCCCCACCCATGAACAAACCGTAGGGTCGTGTCACTCCACTTTCTCCCGAGTTGTAGGCTTGAATCACAAACTCCTCTTTGGCGAACAATCCAGTAAAAATCAAACCCCAAGCACCACATCCCCCATGCAATTGGACAGCCTCTAATGGGTCATCAAAATTCAATTTCAATGCCAGGATATTTAACCCAATCAAGACCCAGGCTGCAAAAAAGCCACAAACGATAGCAGCCCATGGCTCCACCACTGAGCAGCCTGATGTGATTGCAACGAACCCCCCTAGCACTCCATTGCAGACGTCAAGTGCATCCCAATGGCCCACTAGTAGCCTCCTGCCGAACAGCGTTATTATTCCGGCTGTCGATCCTGCTAATGTGGTGGTAACTGCCGTCCTGCCAACCGACGTCCAGTTTCCTTGATCGGTTGTACTAGGATAGGCTACAAGAATCTTATCAAATGAGCCTGGATTGAACCCAAACCATCCAAACCACAACAAAAATGTCCCAAGAACCACAAGAGTTGCATTATGCCCACGCATTGACATAGGCTTGCCAAATGCATCGAACCGGCCCACTCTTGGACCTTCTATGAAAGATCCCCAAAGCCCTGCAACAGCACCTACCAAATGCACTACCCCGCTTCCTGCAAAATCAATAGCACCAGAAGCAAACAGCATATTGGTTGAACTGGCACTGAGCCAACCGCTAGATGACCAAACCCAATGAACCACAACAGGATAAACGAACCCAGTAAGGAAAAACGAGAAAACCAGATAAGCACTGAACTGGGTTCGCTCAGCTATTGACCCGCTAGTAATTCCAGCAACTGCAATAGCAAAAGCCCATTGATAAAGAAAGAAAGAATAGTCATACGAAGTGTTTGGTATATCCTTGAGAGCAAAGAAGTTTGTGCCAATAAAAGGGTTGGAGGTATCACCAAATGCAAAGGCAAAGCCAAAGAGGTAGTAAGAGATGCTACCAACAACCGCATCTACGACATTTGTGAGCATAATATTCATAGCATTCTTGGCCCGGACTGAACCGGCACAGAGCATGGCAAAGCCAAGCTGCATAACAAATACTAAATAAGCAGAAAATAGAAGGTAAATAGTGTTGATAGAATAGGTGACGCTTTCCTCCCAAGAGATCTCCATGACTGTTGGGGAAGGTATTGGTTGGTTCTGATGGAAAAAGGGAAGATAAAGCCTGATAGTTTGTAACCTTGTAATGTAGTTACGTTGAATGGTAGCTGTGCATGTGGAGTTGTTGTCAAATATGTACTTCCTAGTTTGAGTGTGCTGAGTTGTTGACTAGCAGAGCATTCAACTTCAAAGATTTGAACAACCAATGGAAAGGTTCCTAACTCTGATGGGTTGGTTTAACTTAACATGGATACAAAAGACCACAGTGGATCTAAGTCGACATATTTAGTAGCAAAATTGCTATCTGGAAAGGGGTAGGACTATTATAATGTTAAAACTTTGTAGAATGCAACATTTTCCACGTGTTATTCCAAACTTAAAATACTTTAGCAAGCAACTTGAAACTAGACCTTAATAAACTCATTTAAATGAACAGGAGTAACTTTATTCTGCAAAAGTAGTATTTAAAATTTATATGGTTTAACTAGTTATTGAGAATAATGATTTAAATTTTACAAGAAATTTGTTTGAAATTAGTTAAATATTACTTGATAAATAAAATGATTTATAAAATAAAATTTAAAAAAAAAAAATTCTTGATAGACAAATTTATATGTTTATAAATAAATAAAGTGTTATAGATATAGAATTAGTTATGAAAAAAAATATAAAAAAATTATAAGATTTTATAAAATAAATACTCATAAGATTACAAGAAATTGACGTGTGTATTTTTAAAACGTGAAAAAAGAAAATGAAATAATTCACACAAATGAACAAAAATAAAATAAAATGATCCTTATAAGTATAATGCATAAAAACACATGGATATGTGTTTGTTTAAATTTAAAATATTTTATAAAATTAAAAGAAATTAAAAAAAAATCTACATTTATTATTTGTTTATTTGTAATTTTTTATAACTAAAAAATTAATTAGTTAAATTAAATTACATTAATTTATTATCTCTTCTGTAATTGATTATTTATTTGATTTTACTTCCGTTGACTTGAACGATTTGATTAGATTGAGTTTTTTTTTTATTTAACAACTAATATCAAAACAGTCGTGATCCTAACACTAACTATTTAAAGAGCTGAATTACTTGCAAAACAGGAGTTCGAATCTGTCTGCATCCCTTCTCAACCCTAGTATCACAAAAGGAAAATAGCATCTGAATGTTGGAATGAGTTGGTTGATACATGATCTATGTTCAAAGAACAAATCTCCCTTCTCTAAATCAACATAATAATTCAATAACGAGTGAAATTGTTGACCAAAAGCTTACAAACCAAACATCTGATATCAAGCCTTACATCAATTCCATTGCAGGACTAACAAACCTAAGATCAAAAATATGATCATTATCGTTGTTGGAAAAGAGCTTCAATAACTGGTTTCTTCAAACAACTTAGTAACTGAAACTACAAAGCATAGGGAACAACTATGCTTCAAAAACTACATAGAAAACCAAGTATTTCACGCAATGATCAATGGTTTGATTTCTCTAAAGAGGTATAAAACAGAGATATAGATTAGAAGCATACTCATCAACTGGCTGGTGAAGGGTTCATCATTCTGTCTAATAAGAAAAAGGAGTGGTTGACCGTAGGAAGATAGTCATCTATCTAGACTTGGGCCACCGGCAGTTATCTCAAGCTATTGTCGATTAAAAAAGATTAAGTGCCATCTTGAGCTTGTTTTGTCTCCATTTAGGTAGCTTATAGAAGGCTCCCTTAGGCATGCCAAATTTTTCAGCAAACTCTTCCTGGGACAAGTAGGCCTACAAGAAAATCCAACCACAAATTTCATATGCATTGCAGGGTTGATTCACTAGGCAGATGAAACTAATGGCAGTGATTAAAAGATTATCATGGCAAGGAAAACTAATTTCAATCTCTAAATTTTCTTTTTTTTTTTTATACTTGAGGCTACTAGGATTTGAACCCTGATCAGTAAAATTAAGAGTTCAGTACTTTACCAACAAAGCACGTGACTGTTGACTTTGGTTTTCTTATTTTCACCACACAGTCATGTCAAAAGTAAGGGATAAGAGATCCATTTTTTTTCCTTGACAAATAGTAAGTCACTGAGTTTCAAAACTTGCAGCATCAAAGCAAAACCTTGAAACTTTAGAATTAGTAAAATGTCGTTGTTTGAAGTGAAGTATTGTTAAAAGGCTCATTTTAACACTAGATGGAGCAAGACTATAAAGCTGTATACTGTAGCTGATACCTCTCTTTTGGTCACATCTATGTCTGAAACTGGATCAGTTGACACCACCGTCAATCTTTGGTAAGGATATATTATCGAATTTGCACTAATCTCACTTGCATCAATCTGGTTTGAGTTTTCATTCATTAAAGGGGTGCTTTGCTCTACCACCGGAGAATCTGCAGAAAAAAGTGATTTAATAGAAAAAAATAACTTAAATGATAGCAGGCAATTTACCACAGGAAATACAGTGTAATTAGATAACTGTCATAAACAAAACAAGACATCTTGATATAACATGCAAGTTAAATTAGTTTGCAAATAAAGTCATTCGACCTCAGTCTAACCATGCAAGTCTGCATCAGAACCATTCCCCCTAGTACAGATTCTTCACAATTCAAATTAAAACTCTCTGAATTAACAGTCCAAGTTGTTGATCCAAGATAGTTTCAGTATTCCTACTTCAAGGTCATAATCAAGTTTTGTCCAGTTAATTCAGTAAGAATGCAACTTATTGAGTGGTTTAAAGCTAGGAAAACTGCTATCACTTTCAATATCTCTTATGCAGATGCATTACTTTTTCCCCTGCTCCAAAGTATTCAAATCTGCTGGATCTTGTAGAGATTATGAACTAATGAAATTGTATTACCATATACAGGCAAATTCTTAAAAGAGAAGAAAGCTTGATTTAAGCCTAAATAATTTCATTGAAAAAACAATTATCTTCAATGCACCTTGATAAGGAGAGGATCCAGTAAAGAGCTTCCTGACAACTGGAGTTGGGCTGGATGCATTGTGGTTATCAGAAAACTTCAAATGTGAACCTGATATGCTAGATGCAGGAGAGACACTTTTTTCCCATCCATTTGAACTGCCAGATCTACTTCTTGAGCCATCTGGGGTAGCTTTTGGTGCATTTCTTGTTGGTGCCTGAATGGTATTGCAAGAAGCTTGTGTAAGATAAATCTTGTCATGGAATTAAAGAGTTAAATAACTATCCCAACGTTTCTCAGTAAGCATATATAATATATAGAAAATGTGATATTTCCAATAAACTCTAAAAAATTAACAAAAAAAATTCCAGGGTTGTATTTGTTTGGTTTTGACTGATCATAAAATTCTTACAAGGAAATGGTATCTTCTACTTGAAGCAAAGGGGAGTTCGGCCATCAATGACAAGAATTTCATAATAAGCCCATATACTTGTTACACCACCCTATAGGTAGTGTCACCCTTGCCTTGGCCTCACAAGGCTAAAGGTCTACTGGGAATGCCAAGGGACAACTAGATTTTGAAAGGCAGGATACATAGCAGATAACATCAGAACATAAATTAAATATTATGTCACTTGAGCACATAACATCAGAATATATAGCAGTCAAGTGTACTGCAAAGAGCAGGTTATTTGGTCAAACATCTGCATCTATCCCAGATATCATGAAGTGCATTGCCGAATCAGAGGGAAGCTAGGATGTTACAGCCACATTGTTAGAGACTAAGTCAATAATGATCTTTGCCACAGAACACTACTCACGAGATTTTTAGCTAATTCCTATGTTTTACTGAACTCATTTCTCTGTTCTGCTTTTAGCAGTTGTACACTGTTATGGTGGATTCTCCTGCTTCTTTGGATCAATGAAATCTCAGCTTATTCAAAGAAAAAAGAAGCATCCCACAGACACTTATTCCTTTAGTTAATAGGTGGACAAGAATTACATCTAACTGTTATTGCTATTTTCTACAATGGACAGGATGGAAAACTCCGAGCAACTAGAGACAATATTTAGCCACTTCCCTGTTTATGGCTTTACGCATACAATGTCACTCACGGACTGACAGGCAGATCTCCACTGTCCAACAAACTCATTTTTCTTTACGTTGTATTCTAAACAAAAACTGGCTGACTTTCATGTCTATTACATACTACACAGAAAAAAAAAACTCAGAAATCTCAATGGAGACATCCTCTCTTTCTTTAATGGTTTTACAGATACCAACAGAAACTCAGAAAAAGACGAGGGGAGAAACTACTTCAACATAATGAACCTAATACTAAATTCTTATACATATAAATCTAATTAAAGCTTAGTAAAAGTCACTTACAGTTCCACTTGAGATTTTTCCCTTCAAAGTAGCAAGCTTCCGCTCAAATGAATTGCCATTCATCTGCAAGGCAGCAACTCAATTAAAATTTTAAACTGAATGTGTTCTAGTTGCCGGATTGCATAACTAAATCACGAAGATTCCAATTAAACAATAAGTTCCCAGATAGCAAAACTAAGATATCATCTAATAGGAGGCAAAAGTAAATAAAAGAAAAGAACGTAGTGCTAAAATACATATTGGTTTTGACAATTCAAGGATAAGGAAAAATTGTTGCTGTGAATGGTTGAGCAAGTTCTGCTAGCCAAACATCTGACCTAAAAGCTTAGCTTAATAGGTTGGACTCGGGATCATACTAACATTGTATCTCCTGAAACTTCCCTCACTTGCAAGTCTACTGGGCTTTACAAATGGTCCAAGTACATGCCCTCCAGTTGGCAAGTTGAGAATTAATTTTAAACCTAACAAGGCTGCTAAGGTTCGACTCCAGAATTTTAGTTCAGAAAGGCTGTGGAAACATGATAGCCTACAATCCAACCTAAAAGCTTCGGCTGATAGGTTGGGGCCAAATTACTATTATATCTCTCAACAACTTGAATCTCTTATTGAGATTTAGATATTTCCCGTAGCTCAAAATCGTCTTTTCAGCTGAAATATTTTTTACTCCAATACACATGCTTTTCCTAGACAAGAAAGGTAACTTCACACATTTCATGATATCAATTTAGCTCTCTGCAACCCCAACATCCACCTACTTTGCATCGTCACCAGTCATCACTAACTGGGTACCAGGTCAAATGAAAAACATATTAGATAGCAATCATAAGAAATTAAATAAAAGTATGGTTTAGCCAAGACAGTGAAAATACATCAATATCATTTGAAAGGAGCTCATAATAGATACTTTTACTATGGCAGATGACCCACTTACATTTGCCTTCGAGGGATCCCATTCAAAAAAACATGTGAAAAATAGTGGTTCATAGCCTTCACTAATAACATATATAGGAGCCTCCAAAGAAAGTTCTTCCAGAATGTGTGTTTGAAGGAATTTCTGCAAGTCAAGAAATCAAACATGAGAGCATAGAAAGAAGTGAAGAATATAAAATAAGCACATTATGATGGCATTTATACATATTTAACATCAAGATATCAGTATGTCAAACTGCGCATAATCCACGACACAAAAAAAAGGACCTAAAATAAGCTCTAAGAGAGTCTAGACGTATAATTTACCAGACCCAGATTAAGGGCTACTGCTTTTGATTTAATAGTCGAGCGGCGTCCAACCCAAACATATAATTCTTTATGGCAGTCTAGCACGAATACATCTTCAGTAGTTAAATCATCTTGAGTGAAGCTGTATATCTCTTTAACCTGAAAACCAGACCTAGCCAAAGTAAATCCTCAAGACAATCAAAAGAGCTATTTTATAAATCAATAGTTTCTTTTTCATTGAGCAACAAGTTCTTTTAAAAAAACCTCTGTATAAAATCCCAACATTTTGCATTTTTGAGTTTCAAATTTCTATAGAGAAAAGAATGGAATACCACAAGAATTTCATCAACTAAGAACCATTTAGAGTCCGGAATAATCAGATAGAAACTCATGATTTAAAACAAAATTAGCAAAAGTTCAAGAAAGCAGCCAATCTGCATAGACAACCCAGAAAAAGAAGTTTTCAAACCATTACATATATATATTTTTGATTCCTTATCTAGAATGATGAATTTAATAAAGATGGCATGACCTTCCTATACTTCATTTTAGATGCTCAGGTGAGACTTGATTGACCAGGTAAATTTAAGTTCCTATGGCTATAATTATCTGACAAGATTTGGACAATGGCCGGTGATAGAAATCTCCTCTACAATTCATGATGAACTGTAAAACATGAAGTATACTAAGGTTATCCTGAAAAGAAATAAAAAACCAATCAAGCAACTCCATGGGCAAAGTTGAAACGTTTCTGACCAAATTGATGGATAAATTAATCAGAAAATTGGGCAGCTAGTGCTAGGCACATTCACAAAAGAAAGTGAACAAAGAACCTACTGGCAAAACAGGTCCTAGACACTATAAAGAATTCTTATGTCTCTATGACATGCAATCCTAGGAATAAGCAACGAGGATGAAGTAATAGAAATATGCTTAATTACAATTGTATCTGAAGTCCATTACATTTATAGCCCAATCAATCTACTTGAGCATACAGAAAATATGTAATAAAAATTCTATCAACATTTGAATGGGTTCAAAAATAGGCATTTCCCTTAGCTAGCCTAAATTTCAATGCTACTGCATGTTAAAAATCTACAATTGCAATATGAGTTGATGACAACATTTATATTGCATCCAATGGTTCTTAACGAAAGATATGCAAGCCAACAGAACCAAACAAGGTGTACCTTGAAATCACCTGAAAGGGAAATCAAACCATGCGGCAAATGAACCATAACCAACTGTCAGAAACGTTTTGCAGCAATTTACAGCCGGAAAACTTCTGAACCTAGGAAGAAAGCAAATTATCCTTCCAGAGAACAATAGTAAAAAGAGAGGATAATTTGCTTACCTTCAGTACAGGTAAATTTAAACAAATGTGGATCTTCTATGAACTTCTTAATCTCCTTTTCTCTTGGATACTCCGTCTTTCCACCGAGTGAACTCCAGAAACTATCTGGTTCACTTCCTTCCCTCAGTGATATGGGTTGCCATGCTGGCTATGAATGGCATCGTCAAAACAGAAATTCAATGATTATTAATTGAGTTAGGCCCATAAAACAACAATGAGAAATCTACAATATAAATCTGGCTTTCATTAGCCACATACAGAAGGTTTAGTACTAAAAAATGAAAATTAAGTATAATATCTAATATTATATTTAATTTGAATAACATAATACACACATTAATCAATTCAATCATTCTATCAAGAAGATCATGCTCTCTGCTTGAGGTGAGATTCCCAATCCAAGTGAAGACAGATGTTCCATTTTGCAGGACGTAACAGTAGGATGAATTCAGGGAGCCTGAAACCTGAAAGATTTTAGTTTAACAAATCATACTCAAATGTAAAGGAGCATTTTGGTACTAAAGAGGGAGAAAGAAAAAAGAGTAGCAAATCCTCATAACACAAAAAAACAACAAATTTCACTCAGTACCTTTAATAAAACATAAAATAGTAAATCTATTTCTAACATGTAAATAATTTAAGAAAGTATGAACACAAATAATCATTCTGCTTAAAAGTTCAACAAGAGGAAAACTAATCAATCTTTTTAGCATGACTTAACCATTGAATGACTTGGCTGATATGAAGTGTTGCTCTTCTGACAATATAAGCATAGAAGTCATGTTAGCAAACAACAAAAGGTGAAAAGAAAACTAGAGATTCAATCTTCAACCAACTTTCCGATAAAAAATGAAACACAAGACAACTCATTGATATTTGGAATATCATGGCAATGATAGATTGCTCTGAACAGGTACCACAATTTGGAGAAACATATAGTTGATATTTTCTAACTTGGAAGTGTATTCTCTCTTATAAAGAAAGCATAATCCCATATTGACAACAGGATATTAAAGAGTATTGTAGAGGCTCTTATTGTTACTAGAACATTTGACATGAACGATGACAATAGGTTAAGCGTTAAACAAAAATATGAGTTTTGAAAAGTTATCAGCAAAAGAATATATATTAAAGGCATGTGATGGTCTGTGGTATGTGTGGGTGTCAGAGAGAGAGAGAACAAAGGTACTGTTTTAGGTTGAGTGTTACATCTTCAACTTACATGATCAACCTGGATAGCTTGCATGTTTTCTGGACTCGTCCCTTGAACTCGAAAAAGTGCTGTCCTTTTTTCATCATAAGTATCATCACAAATGCCACTTTCAGCAATAAACTTCTTGTACCCTGCACTGATACCTCCCTTTATTTTATTCAAAAAAAGGCAAGACAGGGTATTAGAGGACTGGCTATTTTATCAGTAGATTAACAAAAAAATTAATTTATATTCGAAAGCAATTAAAGGGAAAAAAATTCTTGCGAAGAACCAACCTTATAAACAATTAATGTCTGGAAAATAAGGAAAAACTGAACTGGTTCCTTGTTTTGCGTAACTTGAGCCTAAAAATAAAACATAAGATTCAACCTAGTGAAATGTCATTTTTTGGAGAGATGCAACAGGTGTTAGTGTTATTATACATATATTACTAAGTAGTTAATCCTCATAAATTCAAGAAAATAGTAGAATAAATCACTCCTTCAGAATCAGAAAAGTAAAGGACCCGTTAAAATGGTCACCAAAGAGCAAAATAAGAATTCACATTAGCCTTTTCAGTATGATATATGTGGAAATCTAATCTTTATTATTACTTGATTAGTTGACTTTATCTATTTTAGTTAAGTCTCTTATTTTTTGAATAAGGAGTGATTTGGGTAATTACACCAAATCCATGAGATATTTTCCTATTATGTGTAGAGAGTAAATTTCTCTTTTGATTAGCTATTTTAATGCATGGAAATCTTTGGTTTTAAGACTGTGAATATTCAGTCTTTATCCCATATATTTTCATGCAATTCTAGTATTATAAGAAAAATATAGAAGAATAAAATAGTTTTATTCTAGAGATTTTTTCATGGTGTCAGAGCACGATCTGAACCTTTGAAAATTTTCACTCAGAGTCCAGCATGGTCAATGGAAGAGAGAGCCCGATGTCGGAGGTTACCTCTAACCCCAGAGCTAGCATTATTGGAATAGATTTTTTAGCACAAAAACGTAATTTTCTAAGTGCCTTGACTGTAAAACTAGAGAAATCAAATTCATTAATTATGGATTCTGTAGCTTCAGACCATATGGCTAGGGATGCATCTGTATTCAATAAATACAACGTCATGAAAACTTCACAGTTCAAATTGCTGATAGGTCACTTTCAAAAGTGGCCGGTACAGGTTCTATTATTATTTCCAAAGAGATAACACTTGATTATGCTCTATTTGTCCAAAATCTAAGTTGCAATCTATTTTCCATAAGTAAACTTACAAGAGACCCTAAGTGTGTTGCAAAATTTCTTCCAAATATATGTGAATTTCAGGATTTGAACTTAGAGTAGATGATTGGTAATGTTAAAATGTGTGCAGGACTCTATATCCTAAAAGCCAATGATTCTGAAAGACAATATCAGAAGACCTCTTGTGTGTCTTCATCCCATAATAATAATAAATATAGTATTATCATGTTATGGCACTATCAGTTTGGTCATCCAAACTTTTTGTACCTTAAAAGTTGTTTCCCTCATTATTCAATAAAAATTCTAACAACTTTCAATATGAAGTTTGCCAACTATCCAAACATACCCGTACCATATATCCTAATCAGCCTTATAAACCATCCCATCCTATTTCAATGATACATAGTGACATTTGAAGTCCCTCCAAAGTAAATAACATTACTAATTCTAGATGGTTTGTCACATTTATTGATGATCACATCATATTCCTTATGAAGAAAAAATCAGAAATGGGCCAGCTATTCTAAAATTTTAACAATATGATCCAAACTCAATTCAAAACCAAAATCCAAGTGTTGAGAACCGACAATGGGAGAGAATACCACAATTCAATCCTTGGATCATATCTAATGAAGCATAGTATAATTCATCAAAGCTCATGTGTCGATACTCCTCAATAGAATGGAGTTGGTGAAAGAAAGAATCGACATTTGTTGAAAGTTGCAAGATCCCTCATGATGGCTACCCAAGTACCTAAGCATTTTTGGGGTAAGGCTGTTCTTATCGCTACATAACTTATAAATAGAATGTCTTCTCGAGTCCTGAAATTTCAAAACACTTGCCAATCCCTTCTCGGTTCCTATCCTCAACTTCGAATCATCTTGTCTATTCCCATTTAAATGTTTAGATACACTGCATTTGTTCTTACCAGCCAACAAAACCAAAGCAAATTAGATCCCAAATCCATCAAATGCATATTTCTTGAATACTCCCCAAGTCAAAAAGGGTACAAGTGTTACTCACCAGTAACAAAGAAATTCTACCATTCCAATGTTACTTTTTTTGAAAATCGACCTTACTTTCCCAAAACTGCCATTTAAAGGGAGAATCCAATCACACGGGAATATCAACTTTGGGAAGATCCTATTACCGAACCATCAAACACTCCTCTAACTCCCTTTCAAGTCCAAAACATCCAACCAAATCCCCCAAACCCTAAGTCTACACAAGGGAAAACAAACAAAGAATTGATTGTCTATTCAAGAAGACATAAAACTCGAAAGGATCTAAGAGAATGCACACCTGCAAAGCAAAGCCAAAAATTTGAACCAATTCTAGAGATGCTTGAAACCAACACAAGTAACACTCTTACTAAATCTGATTCAATTGAATCTCTTAATGATCTAGATCAACCGATTGCTCTAAGGAAAGATATGAGATCATGTACTCAACACCCAATCTGTAATGTGGTTTCTTATGAAAGTTTATCACTCAGTTATCAGGCTTTTGTTATCACACTAAACAATATGCAGATTCCCAATAATCATGAAGCACTCATGCAACCAAAATGGAAGATGGCTGTTTTGGAAGAAATCAAGGCCCTACAAACGAACAAAACATGGGAGATTTCAAAATTACCCAAAAGGAAAAATCTAGTTGGGTGCAAATGGATTTTTATTGTCAAACACAATGCAGATGGAAGTATTAAGAGATTTAAAACTCGCCTTGTTACAAAAGGATTTACTTAATCTTATGGTGTTGACTACGAGGAGACATTCGCTCCGACTACTAAACTTAATTCAATCTGGGTGTTATTATCATTAGCAGCAAATCTAGTTTGACCACTCCACCAACTAGATGTCAAAAATGCATTTCTTAATGGCAACATAGAAGGAGAAGAAGTTTACATGGAATCCCTCTAGGATTTAAAAATTAGGACAATTCTGGCAAGGTATGTAAACTTCAAAAGTCTTTTTATGTTCTCAAACAATCCCCATGTGCATGACTTGATAGACAAACAAAAGTGGTAAAGAAGTATGGTTTTTCACAATGCTAGACCGATCGATCACACCATGTTTGTCAAATATTCACCTAAAGGAAAAATAGCCATTCTAATTGTCTATGTGGATGACATTATTCTTACCAGAGACTATGTGGGAGAAATTAGCAACCTAAAGAACTTCCTAGCCAAAGAATTTGAAATCAAAGATTTGGGACACCTCAAAGATTTTCTTGGCATGGAAATAGCTCGCTCAAGGAATGGCATCTCTGTTTCACAGCATAAGTATGTCCTAGAGTTACCAAAGGAAATTGGAATGCTTGTATGCAAACCTGCTGACACCCTTATGGACACAATGAATAAGGTAGGAATGGAAGAAGAAAGTCCAGCATCAGATAAAGGAAAATATCAAAGACTTGTTGGAAAACTCATCTACCTTTCTCATACAAGACCAGAAATTGGTTTTTCGATTAGCATGGTAATCAGATTCATGAACAACCCAACTGAGAAACACTTAAGGGCTGCGTATAGAATCTTACAGTACCTAAAGAAAAGTCCTGGCAAAGGGTTATTTTTTAAGAAGACATCACGCTGAAATGTTGAAATTTACATTGATGTTGATTGGGCTAGATATGTTACTGACCGAAGATCAACTACAGGTTATTGTACCTATGTGTGGGGAAATTTAATTACTTGGCGAAACAAGAAACAGTCTATGGTGGCTAGAAGTAGCGCAGAAGCTAAGTTTAGAGTTATGTCTCATGGCATATGTGAGGGAATTTGGCTAAAAAGGTTGGTATGGTAGTTAAAGGTCTCTACAGAAGAATCCATGAAGATATTTTGCGACAACAAAGTTGCTATAAGTATAGCAGAGAATTTTGTTCATCATGATAGGACTAAACATGTGGAGATTGATCGTCACTTCATCAAAGAGAAGATGGAGGAACGAATTGTTAGATTACTTTATACTCCCACGTGCCTCCAAACTGCAGACATACTCACTAAAGCTCTCTCTCGAAATAACTTCGAAAATCTGAAGTCTAAGCTTGGCATGATTGACAACTACCACCCAGCTTGAGGGGGAGTGTGAAAATCTAATCTTCATTATTATTTGATTAGTTGACTTTATCTATTTTAGTTAAGTCTCTTATCAGGGATTCAAATTGCAGTCGCGGACACGTTTTCGGTCGCATTGTGTTTATCGCGATTGTGGATATAACGAATATCATCAAAGTCATTACAGTTATCGCGATTGTTAATTTTTTTAAAATTTGCACAACTTGTTATAAAACATAGTAATTATAATTATGATCATAAAAAAAAAATTTCATGATTTTTAAAATAATTAATGACACCTTATCTTATTTTATTTATATAAAAAAATTATTTATAATTTTTTAATATTATAGTAAAATATTCACATTTAGAAAATTAACAACATACAAATATTAAAACAATAAAATCATTAATAAAATCCCAATAAAAATAGAAATAAAAAATCAAATTAATATATTAATCATTTAATATTTTATTTTTTTCATGTAAATTATGATATAATATACCTGTCAAATTTACATTAAACTCTTTCATCTCAAATTTTTCAGTCAAAATTAATTCTCAAAATTTTTCAATTTTAACCAATTATTTCTCCCTAAAATTTTTCCCCTAAATTTATTAAATATATATATATATTTTTTGTTTGGTCAAGCATTGACCGGTGCCTACCAAACTCTCCACTACACTCAAATATTTCTTTCAAAATTCTCCTGCATCCTCCAAATCTTTCCACTCAAACTTCTTTTATTTTTTTCTAAATCCTTCCTTTCTGCTATTCCCGCACAAATCATCCACCGACCATAGCAGCCAACCAACCTCCAAGCTTCCACCTTCATCCAACTTTCCACCAAATGACTCATCTGATTCCTTCTTGGATCCAACCAGCACAGTCCGAAACCCATGCCCATAGAGTGCTCATAGATGAGTTTTTAAAATTTTAAAGTTTCAAGCAAAATCTTTCTAAAGTCTAAGTTTTTCTAAGCCTTATACAACACAAATTTGTAGAAACTTAAACAAGGAAGAAAAGGTAAATTTAAGTGTTTTATTATTACTTGATTTCAATAAATTTTTCTTGATTTTTGACTAAGCCTTTTTTTTTACTGAGTCATTATAAATCTAGGATTTCTTTTTTGTGTTTGGGGCTTTACTTTGTTAAAGTTTGAAATTTTAATGCTTGATGATGAAAAAAAAAAATTCTTCATAAAAAAAAAGGAAATAACGCCAATTGCATCCCGCTATTGCCACCATTAGCCGCTATGGCATTTTTTTGAGGCCGCAATGAACCACTACAGATGTGAATTTTCTTCACACCCAATATCGGTTGAATAGTGGTGGCGGTGGGTGCTGATTCCGCTAAATAGCGGCCGCTTTACCACTAGTGCGCTGCTATTTGAATCCTAGTCTCTTATTTTTAGAATAAGGAGAGATTTGGGTAATTACACTAAATCTATTAGATATTTTCTTATTATGTGTAGAGAGTAAATTTCTCCTTTGATTAGCTGTTTTAATACATGAAAATCTTAGGTTTTAAGGTTGAAAATATTCAATCTTTACCCTATATATTTTCTATGCAATTCTAGTATTGTAATAAGAAAAATATAAAAGAATAAAATAGTTTTATTCTAGAGATTTCTTCAATATAGCATGTCAATTTCAGTAACATGAATGAGTGAAACCAATAGCTCTCTCACAAAAGTAAAATATCACCACAGAAACAATCTATGTAGGAATCACTGAAAATGACTTCCAACTACCTGCTTAATTCTTGAACATCCTAAGTTAACTTGTAGCATCAGGTTAGTCAAACAGAAGCATCAAATATTATAACCGCACAAGTGTTGAAGAAAGAAAAATAGAACTTGCCATGACTGGATCCCCTTTGGTTGAATCAACAATGGCACTCATATGGAAGATAGCATCAGCTCTATCTTCCTGCAGGAAGAAATGGATAAAGAAGGAGACAAATGGCATAGTCAGATTTCTCATTAAGTGCCAATATTAAAAACTAAAATTTTAAAGAAATATATAGCACTATACTAAACTTGCATAAGCAACAGTATCGCATGAAATTAAGAGCCAAGGTTTTAGTCCAAACAAGAAAATGCAACTTACAAGCGAAGAAAAAAATAAGCAGTCATGTTCTTTTTTATTTAAAATGATCATTTCTAATTACAAATTTTCACTGACATTGTTTCTTTTATATTCCTCTAATGCCTTTGGCAAGAAAGAATATTTAGAGCCTTTTTTCATGATTGCACGTCAACAATCACTACATGTTAAACTTAGCTTCTCAAAAAAAAAATTATATTTCCAAATAAATATATTACAAGTTAAACAACTGCATAATAAAGGCAGCAAAAACTTTCAACACTTCAAGCGAGGTATCACCTATAAGATATACAACATAAAGCTCTTTTAATTGTTTATTATGGACTTCTGATTGATCAAAAATCCTGATTGAACATTGGCATTGAAGCTGTATTGAAATAAACATGCAGGATCTCTATCAAAAAGGATAATACTTTTTGCATGCCCTATGCATCAATCTAAATATACTTTTGATAAAGTTTACATGTCTACGATTCCAAATGTATGCTGTTGGATAAGGATGGATCCTAAATTCTAATGCCTCTATCTCAAGGATCTCCAGGTTTACCTATACAAAAGCTTGAGATTCAAATGAAAAAATAATCATGTGTTAATGAACCATGCTTACCGGTACACTTCCATCACCAAGCCATGCATAAAATAAACTCTCATCCCTTTCATTTCCAGGATATGTATACTGCACTATATAACAATCCCCACTGTAGAGCTTTGTCTGTTCTGAAACTGGGATAAGGCATAGTTCATGACCATTTACCCGCCAAACCTGACATGTTACACCATTGCATCAAAAAAAAAAAGAGACACTAAAAGCTTAAAGCCATTAGTCCAGAAAAAATGATAAGTTTTCTTGCAATTGAAGCTACTTTTAGTGTGCCTCTGCAATTTATATAAGGCTGGAAGTCTTCTTCAGGAAGCTCCTTCACTTCATAACCCTGTTGCTTGAATATTGCTGAAAAAGAAAACAAAGAGAAATTCATTAGTGCCACAAAATATAAAGTCTACAACTGATTCCTTTCCACTTTTTTTTTCCCATTTTTTTTATTGCTTTCCAACTATATTATTGCAATAGGTACAAACCTGCCACTTTTTCTCGTCCTTCATCATACAGCTTGGTCTCTGCTGTTTTAGGCCAACTATTGAAGTAGGATTTAAATATCAAAGTTTCTAATCCCTCAGTTAAAAATGTTAAGTGAGTCCCATTTGACCTGTCCTGTTTTCTAAGAAAATCCTGTAAAAGAGTAGCTAGCAATATAGTCAGATAGAACGCCCTTAAGATTCTCCTTGTATCAACAAATTCTTCCATCTACATCTCACAAATTCTCCTTATACCAGACATCCTAGTACAATTTATGCCCTTTTGGCACTTTTTCTAAATTGAGGGATAAAATCTTGTAAAATCATGGACTGTAAATCTGGAAAAGATAGAAACCGATGCAGGTGGACTCCAATAGATCAAACTTTCACAGAAAGACAGAACATAGTATCCATGGGTGTCCATCTTCTTAAGAGGAATAAGAACAATCATTTATTGTTAGAAACTTTCCATTAGTATTTTACCTAGATGAGTGAGCTGTAAATTGATATATGAGCAAATAAGTATAGAAACCAGTTGTAACATCATACTTATCAGATATAATTTAATTAGAGATTATCCTTCTAGTGCCCAAGCAGATCATTGCCTATAATTCTCCATGATAAGTTTGATATAAATAAGATTAACAATCAAGTCATTATTTTGGACAACTGCATTCTGACTTTCATATAATTTATAAACAGTGCTTAGTAGATTGAGGAACATTGCAGCTTTTGAAAAAACCTATGGGAGAGCTTATCATCTTAACTAAATGTTATAAATTAAAATTCTCAACAATCTTCCCCTAAGAAGCTAGAGCATCTTGTACATAAATTATATCTCATCAAACGGCCATTAGAATTTCGGAATAAGATGAGAGGAAAAAAGAAGAGGGTAGAGGGAGAAAAAGGATGCAGTCATATCATTTATAGATGCACACCTAGTTATCTCAATTTTGAGACTCAAACCATTTCTAATTGAATGAATGTCTTCTTCAACCAACATATCCCCTCATGATGCACTCAATCTAACTTTTTGCTCTTTGTCTACATGTGTGAAAAGAAAGAGTGGGATAGGAGGGGGATGGCAAGAAGCAGAAGAAATAACTCTTACTTCTGCAGCTGAAATAGATATCTTTCGTTCAGTTATTGAGGTATTTCTTCCCATCCAAACAAAAACTTCGGCACCACAATCTAGCATATAGCACTTGTTTTTCTCAAGCATATCTTTGTCCAATGAATTACTTCCAATTTGAGACAGTTTCCCCTGAAGATTTATCCTGTTGATGAAAAACCTTAAAGTGTCAATCAAGAAAGGTATATTATTCCATTTAAAGAAAGAAGGAAGAAAAAAATTTTCTCTGAAAATAAAAAGAAAGAGAAAAGAACACAACTTGGTATCACCCTGAATAGGAACTAAAAGGACAAGTTAATTCAACCAATAATCATCTTACACTTGTTGAAAAGTTAGAAAAAGCAGTTATTTATAAAATTATTGGAGATAATAGGCAAACGGCATGCATTATAATTTGGCCTTTTAATATGCCGAATAAATTTGTTTCTGAATGCTAAGATACAAGCTTGCAAATATTCAGGAATTAAGTTTGTTGACAAAGATATAATGGCAAAATTCAAATACAAACTCACCAAAATAATATTGCAGGACTATCAACTTGTTGTGGACCAGACAAAGCTGAGTCCCGGGGAATTGGTGCATAACCACCAAAAAAACTCCAGAATTCACCAACATCAGAATCACCAACCAATTTTCCGTCCTCTGTTGCAAAGGAACCATTTAATAATTGCAATATCTTTTACTTTAAAAGGGTTGAAATTAAGAATTTCCAACCTATAGTTGCCACTTCACAGTTTCTGGTGTGCTTATTCTCTTTGATATACTGAACAACCTCCAAAGCTTTAGCCCTTTCTTGGATACTAGAATTGCACCCGCTAAAGAGGAAAATTTTTGATGCAGTGTCAAGAATGAATACATCATCATGATTCAAGGATGATCGAGAAAAAGGCACCTGGGCAACAAGCATGACATATGAAGAAACTAAGAATCATAGTTATTATGAAGAAACTAAGAATCATAGTTATTATGAAGAAACTAAGAATCATAGTTATTATTAATGAGGAAAAAAACTACTTTGTCTAGTCATTAACAAAATGCAGTGAATAACAGAACAATCTAATTATAAAGACCGATAATGATTTCATGTTTATTATCAAATGGAATCTTTGTTTTCAATAGTTGACATGCATTATAAATACGGCCTGTAATCATGTACATAAGGATATACAAACTTAAAAGCATGTTAAATGTTCAACTATAATTACCAACGCATGCCTGCTATAGAAAAATTAATCCCTAAACAAGTGAATTATCAGATTACTTTATCTTGTCTGGTAGAATAGACCACAAGAGCAACTGGCTCTTTCTGTCAACTCAAACTTTCCATCATTGCCCTACAAAGTTATTTTGGTAACTGTGCTGCAGTAAAGCATGCATCTAGAGTTTTTTTATTTCTTATCTTGAGATGTTAACTCAAATAATTAAAACACCTCAAATCATTTCCCAAACTTCAAATATAACTTACTTCTTTAACATGAACAACATGATCTCCCTTGCATGTTAACAAGGTGACTCGGTATGTTTCACCCTTTAACTTCCCAGGCTGTGAAGAGTACACTCCTTCAACTGGAATAATACAAGGTTTAAAATATGATAAGAATTTCTCAGTTTCTTGGCCTTGAACTTCTCTATACTGCACGGTGCAAGACCCTAGCGCTGCATCTAGTTCCAGCGCTTTGTCTGACGCCAAGGCTGAGTCTACCTGCCAATACAGCAACCATTCTCAAAATACCCAGTAGTAACATAAGCCTACATATAGTTAATAATTTTTCTAGATTTGATATGCACAACTCATACACAAAGATTAATGGATCAATACTTTTTTTGGGGTTTCACTCTATTCCCATTTTAGTGCACTTGACTGTGTGTTTTTGTACAATTAGAACAGTTAATAAAAACTATGGTCAAAAATATCTGGCAGATTCCATTCATTTTCTTGTCTGTACATTATTATTCACGATATTGAAGAAACTACCAAATTTAACATTCAAAAACAATCTTGAATATTATCTTTGTCCATGAAAAACAAGGCAAGTATGTAAGAAAACAATCAATGACCTCGTTTGCATCATTTCCCAGCCAATAATGTATGTCGTGCTGCGGAGGCCCACTTTTTAGCACACTTGTCTGTCTCAAATAACAACCAGAAATCAGACATGCAAATCTTCTTTGAATCTAAAAATAATTACCACTATCATATACTCCATTTCACTGACAAAAGGAAAAAAATGTTAAAACGCTAAAACTTACACTTAAAACGACATATGCACTTCCAGAGTAGAATTTTCCATGCGAAGATTTTGGAACAGGAACCAACCGCAAGTTCTCAATGCACCAGATTTCCAAACCACTGAATTAAACCAAAAAAAAAAAAAAAGCCTTAAACAGAAAAAAAAAAAAAAAAAAAAAAAAAAAAAAGAGAATATGCGGTTAAGAGTTAAGAAAATACGGTTTTGCCCCTGCTCCGTGGAATGCTGAATCAACGTCTTTACTGTAAAAAGCCATTATCTCTCATCACTAAAAAGAAATGGAGTCTGCAATCCAGACATTGAATGTTAGATCTAAAAGCTTAATCAAAATCAAAGAAATAAGCCAAAAAACTGACGCAAAAGAAAAAAAAAAAAAACAAACCCGGAGCTGACCAAACAAAAAGTTGAACAGAAGATTTAAAAAAAAAAAACCTTGAAAAAAGAAGAATAAAAGAGAGTATATTCTGATCTGTTTTTAAAACAAAATGGAGATTAACAGAGCAATAAAAAAGAGTTGGGGAAGCCGAAAGCAAGAAGCGAATGAGACTCTTGGCTTTATCGTCCAGCTAACCAGGGACCCACCCCCTAAACTGGAAGCTTTTTTGATCTGTTGAAAACGATAGAAAGGTGAAAACTTATAAAAAGAAATGAGGGAGTGGCAGGGTGGGGTCCGCCGGTCTCGTCTGGTTGTTGGTTCCCGCTCCCGCCCGCTCTGGATTTGAAGTTTGGGATCGAAACGACGTCGATTGAATGCGCAATTTTGGATTTCGATTTTATTTTCCTTGGGTCGGCGTTGGCCGGTCGTCGTACGGGTCAAACAACAATTGATGATGGTTTTAAAATTTTACACAAAAGAAAACCAGCATCGAACACGTGTCTGCGAATTAATGGATAAATGTTAAATAATTTATTTTTAACATGTAAAATAATAATAGTTTAAATTAAAGATAAAAACGTACGTAATAGTTAATTGAAAAAAAAAATCTGAAATAGCGAAAAATAGTTGAGTGGGTAAATTATTAAAAAGACATGATGGATGTGTTAATTGGAAATAAAATTGTGGATTTTATGATGGTTGGTTAAGAATTTAACAAGCAAAATTAAATGGTTTTAATTGGTTAGGAGATTAACCATATTGAGAGTAGTTACAACTATGGAATTCAAGGATATTGACAGGACAATTGGAAAAAAAGTAACATCCAACAAAGAAACATTAATATTGGAAATAATAGATTGATAAGGAAGGAGTAGGAATCAAGGGAAGAGAAGCTACCCATTATGACATTGTGATAACATGTGCAAGTGATTTCATAAAATATTCCAGCAAAGCAATGGCCAAGTTGGGATGGACCAAATTTTTTTTCTTTTGAACTTAACCTAATATTTAAATTTAATATTTGAATTCGACTTGATCTTATTATATATATATATATATATTTTTTAATTCATAATTAATTTTATTCGATTCAAAATTAATAATATATTAAAATTTTAATATAAAATATTATTTAATATTATTTTTAAAATATAAAATATTATTTTTAAATATAATATAAAATTATATAAATATATAAAATATATAATTAAATAAATAATAAAAAATAATATATATTAAATCAGATCAAAATGAATTTGCATAAAATTTGACCCCAAACTTATCTTAATTTAAAAAAAAAATACTTGATTAGACCTTACTCTTAATTAAAAAAATTAGTAAATTTTGTATCAGATCAAAATCCGATGAATACAAATTAGATTGCCTACTCTTTTAAAGTTCATTGAATAATGTTAGTCACTACTTATAGTGTCATATTGGGCCAGGTTCTTCATACCCAGTGGACTAAGAACTTGGGTCGCTCACAATCAAATAAGAATCCTCTTTCCTCGAACAATAGAGAAATTAACTGATAAGAACCATAGATGTTCAAAATATCATTTCCTCTATCCCCGCCATTTCCTTCACTTTCTTCTTACCTTACTTCCACCATTACCAGCCAAACAACTTTCGCTGTCTCATCTGACTGCCATCACAAGATCACTTGTCCTAGTCCTATAATCCAACCTCATCTCTACCGCTAATACTTAAGCCATGTTACAATTGGCACACCAAACCACAAGCTTTCCTGGATTGAGTTCAAACTACAATGAGATAAAATGGAGTCTCAATATCACGATTCACGTCATTTTATTCACATAATTTTGTGAGATATTATCTGCCTTCATCAATTGAATCTTACAATTTTATTTTACAAAAATCATTTTATAAGTTAAAAATAGTATAAACATTTATATCTCAAAATTAATTATAATTGATGTATAATTCATAGCTTTTCTCTAATATTATGAATCCTCTCTCACTCCAATGAGAGCTTACCGTTCTTAGTAGTATATCAATAAATATCCCATAGCAACTTTAATACCAAATGTCATAATTTACATCAATTTATAAAGTATTATCCATTTTGATTCATCAAATCGTATGATTTTATTTCACCAAAAAATATCTCATAAATTAAAAGTGACATGAATATTTATATTCTAATATCAACTCTAATATACAGTTAATATAGAATCCATGACTCTCGTTGGAGCATGACACTAACCTGCGTCCCTTGGATCCTTACCATGAGTCCTACTGGCAACATGTCTTCAGGATTCATGTGGCATCATTTTGTGGTGGTTGTGGCTTTCGTAGGGACCATAAGAACCTTTACGGCTTTACCCACTCAGCCCTAGCCCGAGTGCAATGGAGCCATCACTTCAAGCCAGGGAAAATGAAGAAGACAATGCAAATAGCAACAAAAACTCAAGGAGGGCAGACATGAAAAAAACCAAAATAAAAGAGTGTTTGATTTTCATCTTGACAGTCAGAATTGCTTGTTCCATTGAATCACCCAAAGCACACCACATTATTTTTTTTACTAACCCAAAATTGCAATCAATTTGAGAGATTTAGTGAAAATTTTCTAAAATAAACACACGATTAAAACTGTTATACTCAATATAAAAGCACATACAAAATTAAAGCAAGCACAAGTATGTAATTTGATTTCTACAAGCCAAATTTATATTACAAAAACGAAAAGTTCGAATTAAAAGAAAAATTCAGTAAAATCACTGGCTCTTGCTATCGTAATCGACAACTTCGGAATCAGTAACGGATCGTGATTGTTGGACGATGGACCGACCAATCGAATTGATCCAATCCTCTTTCTCTTTCTCCGTATCCGCGACAAAATACATGGTGGAATCTCGAGTGGAGAGCTCGAAAGCGAAGGCCTTGTTCACAATATCCTCGGCTCCCTTGACCGTGAGGCAACCGCCCACCGACACCACACCACGTGGAGAGGAACCACGGTTGACGGAACCCGGGTCCTTGAACCACAACAGCTTGCCTTGCTTCAAGATAAACCAGCGGCGGCGCCAGGTCTTGATGTAATCGCCTTGTTTAGTTAGCCAACCGGCTCGTTCGGGGTCGATCCAGAACTCGATGCCTTTGTAGTCATCCGGATTCGGGTCCTGACCCGTTGCTGCTCGCCATAGATTCTCCATTTTGTCGAGGGAATTGGCGTTTGGGCAAGAAAATTGCTTAAGAAATGGGATTTGTAATCGGGAGTTGTTTGGCAGTTTTGACTCAATTTGGAGTCGGCAACGTATTTGGCTACTCTACAAAACGAGGTCGTTTAAATGTTGGTAATTGGTGAATAAGTAAGAAATCAAAAAAATCGGAATTATCTTTATGTCTGACTAATTTGGGAAACCATTTTTATCGCCTATAAAATTAGACGGTAGTGCTTTTTCACATTCAACGGATCTGCCAACAGCAGCTACAATCAGCGTCGAATTTTTAATTTTAGTAATTAAAATTTAAAAATTAATCATTTTAAATATATAAAAAATTTTAACAGAATTAAATTTAAAGTCTAACCTCGTAGCTTTTCTCTGATTCCAAACTAAGACGAGTATACAAAACTTTTCGATAATTTTAAATTTTCAAGAACTCTATGTCACGTTTCTTTGGGGTAAAAATGGGTAAAGAAAAAATGGAAAAAGCTTTGAACATTTTAGTTCTTATCTATTTGTGCATTATTGCACATGTATGGAAAAAAAATGAAGAAAGAAAACCACACTCCCTATTTACAAAAATCAGCGACCACGGGTTGGCTGCCCGAACGCTTCATTTCAGCGGCAAACTATTGAGAAGAGATTAAATTATTTCTCAACAAAATGAAGACTCCGGAAGATCAATGGCACAGGCAAGAGCAGCAGCTTTGTTCTCACACTCTCTCTGTTCATCAGCAGGGACACTGTCTGCCACAATTCCTGCCCCGGCTTGGAGGTGAGCAACCCTCGACGCTTGTTCACGTCCTTGTATGAAAACATGATGTCATATCGATTGGCAGCTGAAAAAACAATGGTTCTCAGCGCAAGGGCAATGTCCATATTACCAGAGAATGAAATGCCTCCAAACCCACCACTATATAGTCCTCGTCTTGTAAGTTGTAGCTGATCAATCAACTCCATTGCTTTCACCTGTATTGTAGCATTATGAAAATGGGAAACCATCAAAAACTCAGCCCTATATACAAGCAGGAAGCAAAGAGTATGCAATCATTCTGGTTGGATTAGAAGAAAACCACAGGGTTGAGTTTCTTACCATATGATGTTTTATTATTTTAATTAACTTCAAAACCATGATAAACCGGTAAAAGAAAAACCGTCAATAAAAGTAGAAAGAGGGTGGTAACAAGGACAACCTTTGGTGTCCCACTAACAGTTCCAACAAGCAATGCCGCATGCAAAGCATCCCAGCTAGTTAAATCGTCAAGCAATGCTCCTGTAACCTGCAGATTTCAAATAGAAACTTGTTACTATGAACAAGATCATAAGTAAGCATTGGACAGTAGCACAAATAATGGCAGAATGTAAGCTTAGAGTTTACATTTCCCTCAATCAGAGTCAAACATGAACTTCTAGAAAGGAAAGTATACCATCGAGCTGATGTGCATAACATCGGAATACTATTTGATATTCATCAGCTTTTCAACCTTAACAGATCCCGGCTTGGAAACCTGCTTGACCAACCTGTATTTGAGTACAGAATCAGTCAGATGTATAAGAGTAGAAAATATCATCAGAGCTTTAATAGCGTATATTGCCAACATGGATGTCTCCATGCAATTATTCACAAAAAGGAAAACGTTAACAAAGCAGCAATATTCTATATTTGCCAATGTGATCCCGTGAGTAAATGAGCAGCATGGATAGAGTAAACCATAAAAAATAAAAAATAAAAAAAATAACCTTTCCAACATCATTCCTTCCCAAGTCAACTAGCATAATGTGCTCTGCACACTGCTTTTCATCAGCCAAAAGTTCTTTTTCCAACATTAAGTCTTCCTTAGGTGTCTTCCCACTTCTAATGGTCCCAGAAAGAGGCTGATTAATAATCTTTCCCTGTGAACAACATATAAAGGTAAAAATGTGATAAGTCTCAGTTACGGCAATTTAACGTGACAGCACCTTTGACTAGGGGAAAGAAGGGGTAAGGGCACGGGAAACTGCAACAGTAAACCAAAAGATAGAAAGGAATTATACTTCAAATATTATTGCATCAAAATACTCATTCTAATTATTTTTTGGATTACTGTACAATTACCTTCCTCAAACATGTCAGAATTTCTGGACATAAAGCAAAAAGTATACATCGTCTAGCCTAATTAGAAGAAAAACGTATACCAAAGCTAGAATTTCAATATTAAGCAAGCATTTCCAACCAGGAAAAGGAGGCAAAACCTGCAAATACATCATGTATGGGCTCAGATTAACAATCCTCAGGGCTCTGTATATTTCAAATGGGTCAGCAAACGTTCTCCATTCAAAAGGCTGACTTAATCCAATCTGGAAAATATCACCAGCCAGAATATGCTCTTTTGCCAGCAACACAGCCTCCCTGCATGCGTCACTAGTCATGCTCAAAATCTCCAATTTAGGGCCGAAAAGAGGAGTTTACAACTTTATTGAACCTGCATGCAGCTTTGGGCTGAAATTGACAATTCAATCAGAAAAACTACAACTAAACCGTAGAGAGAAAAAAAGGTAAAAAGAAAGGTGTGAGATCAATAAGAAAACAATCACTCACGGATCTATATCATGTACTCTAGATACTAAAGTTTCCAACTGTTTCATGCCATCATTATAGGCCTCATCAACTGAAGAATATTGATCTAATCGCAACCAATGAATCACAAATGCTTTCTGTGGTAAAAAAATTTAAACAAATCAAAGGGAAAATTATATTCTCAAAAGCAGCCACAAACTCTAACTACAATTTAAAATCAAGGCCTAGTGACACAAGCCAACAAAATTACAAAAAAAAAAAAAAAAACTTATATCAAGATGTTTAATGTACATTCACTAAAAAATACAAAAAGATGAGTAAATCACATGAATCTTGGCATCACTATAATGGCTTTTGAAACAGCCTTTGGTTTTGAAAGAAGCTTAAGTAGTATACAATTTCTCCACATAAATTTGAGAAACACCCGAAAGAAATAAGAGATGTCACTTAAAGGTACATATAATCAACCTTGCTAGCAAAACAAATGGAGATGCACCAAAAAATGAATTATATATAGCCTACAGGCCAAATGTGAAATACCTTCTCAACATGGTCAAATACAATCACATCATTATAGAGGCCTAGACGACAAACAAACAAGATCAGAAGTAACTGTAAACTACAAAGTTGACGATAAAACCTTCAAACAAAAATCAACAGGAGGGCTATCATGAACACAAGGAAAAGCTGTTAGTCCATATCACTCACCAGAAAATACTTATGAAAGCTCATCAACACGTTGGGGTTCCCATCCCTCTACAATTCTCCGTGGAATAGTCATGGATCCTCCACAATCTCTTCTGTCCTACACCCCTCCTTATGGTTCAATATCATAACCATATTTCTTTAGCTAAAATTTCAATGCTTGCCTGAGCTCCAACCACGCCATACCTTCCCTAACATAAACCAACCGAAAAAATATATACATTACTTATCCATAGTCTATAAACATATAAGAGGCACACGAAGAAGGAACTTACGATACTAGAAGCCACCAGGCTCAAACGACTCAAACAAAAAGCTTGGTGCATCTCTATCATCCTCCTTAACTAAACATCGATATGCTATCACCGGCGTTAAGTGATCCAAGAAAATATGATCCAAGAACATACATTGGTAAAGAGGAACTAAATTCCCATTCTTTAAAGCTTCTCGAAATTTCTCTGACTGGTCAACTGGTATACAATTGAAATCAATAGAAACAAATAAAAAAAATTAAAAGTTCATATAATTATATTTACTGAAGAAAATAAGAATCTAAAACATTCAAATTTTGAATTGGTTTAATTATACCGATTGAGTAAAAAAAATAAAAGGAAGAACTTTCTTTTTAATTAATTTATTTCCTGTCATCTTGCCCTGCATTTCCTTGTAAGTAAATCAGAACATAAATTAACCGCTTAGCCGCTTTAAAGTTATTAAAATCAATCAAAATTTGAAGTAAAGTGAGAATTTCTACTTTTTATACTACATTTTCCCGGGAATCAAACAGAATATTAAAAAATGAACAAAATTTTTTCTTTCTTTAAGATCGGTGTGAAAGTGAGAGTACCTAATGAAGGAGATGACGAAAGAGCATAGCATTTGAGTGTATGGACGCTGGAAGCGTAGCTGAGTAGGGAAATGGACCTTGAACGGAAACCGGAGGATCTGGCGTTGAAGTTAACCGAGACGGTTGGAGAGATGCAGAGGGGAGTTGAGGGAAAGTGACGGGGAGAAAAGCCTAGGGTTTCCATGGTGGCCATTTCAAAACTGTGAAACTGCTGCGCTGAAACAGTTAATGGACTGTTTTGTTGGGTTCGGGTCGGGTTTTAAATGGGCTCAAAAAACTTTTTTCAGCCAATAATTGGGCTTGAATGTCGTACAAGATATCCTTTTGAAAAAGTTGTTTTTCCAACCTGGAGCTTAACTATAGCAAAATAATTGAATGAATTATTGAAAGTTATTTCTTGAAAAAAAAAAAAAAAAAGGGTGGGAAAGCTATTTATGAGAAGACCGTTAAAATCATTCAATGGAAAATTTATAAAAATATATATATATCATCATTATATGCATATTCATTATTCTAACCCAAAAAAGTACAAATAATTTTATTGAAAAGGAATGTAGTGATTTATTTTCATAAAAATTGATTAATATAATTGTCACGATTCTAATCTTATATTAAAAAATTATAATGATTCATTGTAGTATAAAGGTAAAAATTTGAATTCATATTTTTATGCAAAATATTATTTATTTTTGTTTAAAGATTTAATTATTCTTTTATAAAAAAAATTTCTAAATATGAGTTTAATGAATTCTTACAAATTTTTAATGTATAAATGGAGAGTGTTACAATAAATTTTCTTCTTGACTATTGGATAATTTTTCTCTCTCTTTCATATCTATCAGATAAATGTGCTTATAGTTTAGAAGTCCCCTAATTTTAACTTTTTTTCCAAAAAAAATAATAATAAATCATAGCTACATTTGGTAATAAGCTTAAAACTTCATTAAAAGAAAGTTATTAAAATGGTTTAACATAGTTTTGTTTTTTATTTCCTTGAACCAACAAAAAGGAAGCATGGAATTAAGTAGACCTTGCAAAAATTTTTTTATGAGAGTAAACTTAACAATTATAGATACAATAAATAACATGATTAAAAATTACGAAAATGATATTATTTAAAATTTGAATAAAAATTATATATTAATTTAATAAATAAAAAATATTTTTTACTTTTGACATATAAATACAAATCGTAATATAATAAAATTTTCATTTTTTATGTATTAAATACGAAAAATATAATCACATAAATACAAACTATAGGATGAAGAATTAAGGATGAACAAAAAAACAAAATGCATTTGTGAATAAATTAAAATATTGGGACCAGAAAAAGGTGCAAGAGCAATACTAAATTATTTTAAGGAAGAAGATTCCTAAGACTACATGATTTTGTGGGCCCAATATCTATATCAAACCCAGTTTACAGAGCCCACGAAATTAATGCCTTATATAAGTATTTGATGATCCATATTCCATGCAACAGCCGCTCCAACCTTTAAGGGTTTTCAGTTTATCTGCTTTCTCTCATTATTTTCTTTCTGGTTAGGGTTGTTCTTGAAGCCAAGCAAACATGGTTTTGAATCCAGTGAAGAGGGAGAAGAAAAGTCTGTACGACCAGAAACTGTGTGGTCTCCTCGATGAGTACTTGCAGATCTTGATCGTGGCTGCTGATAATGTTGGGTCAACTCAAATGCAGAACATCAGGAAAGGTTTGAGAGGTGATTCCATCGTGCTTATGGGAAAGAATACTATGATGAAGAGGTCCATCAGGATTCATGCTGATAAAACCAACAATAATGCCATCAGAAGTCTCATTCCTTTGCTTGTGGTATCTTGGGTTTCCTATACATTATAATAGTCTTTTTTAGAAAATTTTGGGCTTTTGTTTGTTTATTTTCAAGTTGATGGTTTATGGTTGGATACTTCTCCTATTGTTTTAACCAGGGTAATGTGGGATTGATCTTTACCAAGGGTGATCTGAAGGAAGTTCGTGAAGAAATTGCTAAATACAAGGTAAAAAATATTGATTGAAAAGATACACGACACATCTATGATGAATAAATCTGTTCTTTGAATTTGTGTCTGATTTTATGTTAAATATTTTGAAAAAATTGTCTGCAATATATTGATGATTTGTTAAGAGTCCGCCATTTGCTTGTTTTATATAGTGATTTGTATTGATCTTTTAATTATATGGCTTGACATGATCAGGTTGGGGCTCCAGCACGTGTGGGTCTTATTGCTCCAATTGATGTCGTTGTTCCCCCTGGCAACACTGGCCTTGATCCTTCTCAAACTTCCTTCTTTCAGGTTCTTACTTGAGTTTTGCTTTCACAAGCTCCCATTTTTGTTATAATCTCACATTTGGACCTCTCAGGTGCTTAACATTCCGACCAAGATCAACAAAGGTACAGTGGAAATCATCACCGCTGTGGAGCTCATTAAGAAGGGTGAGAAGGTTGGCTCATCTGAGGCTGCCCTTCTTTCAAAGCTTGGGATAAGACCATTCTCTTATGGTCTTATTGTCCTATCAGTTTATGACAATGGATCAGTCTTCAGCCCTGAGGTGCTTGATCTAACTGAAGATGATCTCATTGAGAAGTTTGCTAATGGTCTCTCCACGGTTGCCTCGTTTTCACTGGCTATTTCATATCCAACTCTTGCTGCTGCACCTCATATGTTTGTGAATGCCTACAAGAATGCTCTTTCTGTTGCTGTGGCTTCAGATTATTCCTTCCCTCAGGCTGAGAAAGTCAAAGACTACCTGAAGGTTGACGTACAATGCATCATTTAATTTGTTTTATCCCTTATTAGTTTTGTTGCTTGACTAAAACTGAAGTGTTTTGGTGATTAAACTGTATAGGATCCAAGCAAGTTTGCAGTTGCTGCTACTGCTGCTGCAGCTGCTCCAACATCCAGTGCTGCCAACAAGGAGAACGTAGAGCAATCCGAGGAGCCCAAGGATGTCGAGGAGGAGTCAGATGAGGACCTGGTTGCTGGTCTTTTTGACTAAATAAGTAGTATAGTAGTAATTTGATTTTAATTACTAAGCAATTTGAGGAGAAAGTGAGGCAAAAATAAGAACTTGGATGGATGCTGCAATTATATATGTTTTGAACTGATCGTGTGGCTTTTCTTGCTTCACTGTTCAGATTTTGAATTTTTAGTAGTACCAACTTTAAGTTTATGGATATATTTTACATTGATATATGCATAATTTCCTTTGCTTGATCCCAGGTTTGCCATGCAAAGCTTACAATGGCAAGCATGCCTGTGGAAATATAAATATGATTTTAAGTTCATATTCATTAAGTGACAACCTGACCTAACTATAGCGCTTGAATGAAAGTGAAAGGCAACAAGTTTCATAAGAATTAAAGCATAGAGATCAACTATAAAATAGATTTGATCAAATATACTCTTGCAAAGAAATTAAGATTTGATCAAATATACTCTTGCAAAGAAATTAAGCATCACTTTCGGGTACAATCAATAGCACAAGAACAATAGAATTGACGCTCTATAATTCTAGAAACAGTGGCTCTGAACCTTATCTCAGCAGCAGGCGATCTGAAAATATTGAGACATAGATTTAAATAACGTTCTCGATGCGGATCGTATTCACAAATAAGGTCGATAATATAACTCACCATCGACGGGTTTTGATCCGATTTGATTTTATAAGATCAAGTTTTTTTTTCGAAATTTGAATTTTAGGTCGGATCGGGTAAGATTATGAAATAATCAGTGTTGGTTCGGGTTTGGGCTCGAGTTTTAGACAAATCCGATCCGATCCGATATTTATATAAAAAATTATTTTTTAATTAATTATTTAATTATAAATATATATTTATATAATGATATTTTAAAATATTTATATTTTAAAAATAATATTTTATATTTTAAAAAATAATATTTTATTAATTTCGGGTCGGATCGAGTACGGTTTATATAGTATCAGGTGAAGATCAGGTTCGGGTATAAAAAAACAAAAAAAATTCGAATATAATCGAGTTCGAGTTTGATAACACATAAAGTCAGATCGGGTTCAAAGCGAGCAAAATCTGTCCCGAAACCGATCCGATGCTAACTTTATTCACAAATGAACTTAAGATTAAAATATCACAAATTATTTTAAATATTATAAATAAATATTATTATTATCAAACTATTTTTTTATTTTATTTTATAATAAATTATAAAAATTTTAAAAATTTTATTATGATAAAGAATACGACTATCGTAATGCAACACAACTAAAATCGTGATTGTAATCGTATTTTATTATCGCAATGAATAGACTATCACAATACAACACAACTAATCATATTTTAAATCTGACAGTCACCATATCAAGTTATCACAATTCCTTTTGTAATATGATTATGCAGAATTATGCTGAAGAAAATTCCGAAAGAATCGAGCTCCCTGTTTCATGTAAATGTTTAACTCTAAGAAACAAATGAATGCTCAAGAAGACAATATTTTGTCTGTCCTTCACAAAGATAAATTGTATTCGTCATAATTAAGGGTGTAAATGATATATTAGTACTTACAAATTACTCGAATTCGATTAAAAAAAATTCGAATTCAGTTCGATTATTGTCGAGTCGAGCTCGAGTAGCTCGACTTATCGATCGAGCCGAATTCGAATATTCTTATATCTAACTCGAGTAGCTCGCGAGCCTAATCGAGCTTTTATATTTAAATATATTTTTATTATTTTAATTAATAAAATATTTCGAGTCCGAGTTCGAGTTCGAATTCGAGCATGAATAATCGAACTCTTATCGAGTATACGAATCGAGCTTATTTTTGTATATTAATTGAGGTTAATCGAGCGAGCTCGAGTAGTTCGAATTCGATCACGAATCGAACTCGAGCTTAAAAAATAAAACTCGATCGAGCTCGAACCGAGTATCGAACTCCGAGTTGTGAGTCGAACTCGAGTTCGAACTTCTCACTATTCGACTCGACTCAGCTCGTTTACACTCCTAGTCAGAATTTCGTCTCCAGCCTTCTACTCGGTTATTCTTTTATGGTCCTTCAGTTACTTACTCTGTCCATAAAAGGGGCTTGCCCCAATAAATCCAATGCGTCCAAAAATGATATATGATTGGGCTAATATTATTAACCCGATTAAGCTAAGCTATAAACTCTTATTTACAAAACACAACCACTGGCCCAAAACATTGAAATACAAATTATTATTTTTCATAATTTTTTAAAATTTTTTGTATTCAAAATTATCAAAAATTAAATTTTAATTAATAAAAATACACACATATCAATATACACACAATTGTTGGTAAAGCATTTTTTTTTTTTTTTACTTTTATAACATGACATAAATAAAATTTTGTTACATAAATAAATTAGGTAATCACATAAATAAAAATTTGTCCTCTATAAATCATTGCAAAAACAACTATGAGTGTGAATATACATAAAATCAAATTTCTAAGTTGAAACTAATAATACATATAAATCTAAAGCTTCAATAAATATATTATTGTTAAAAAACTTTGGCATTTATAATTTGTTGATTTTTTATGGCCAAAGGTGCTAAAAGAATACTAGTAATTGTATGATGTATTAATAAAATATTAAAATTTTAATTTCATTCTTCATAATTTTAAGTAAAAAAATTAAAAAATACTGTTTAAAGGTATATAATGAAAAATAATTTGAATCACCACAAATTACACATATCAAATCAAATGGACCGGATATAGTCGGCGAAAATGACCCCATTGATCTTGAAAATGACTTATCCTTTTAAGATATTTTCACTTGCCACGTTATCAAAACATCAATTTTTATATTTAGAGTAGATCTAATAATTTATATATTTGTTTTATATAAAATATTAAAATTAATATATTTGTATCATATTTTACATGAAATTATATATATATTATTTTGTCTAATACGTACATCAAAACTTTTTATTTCGATTTTATTGAAATTATCGGGTTTTGAGCCCAATATATGTTATTTTGATATAGACTTTACCTTAACAAATATTTTATTTTTATTTTTATTTATTTGTTTATTTTTAAATAAAAACTAAATAAATAAAAAGGGAAAGAAAAGAAAATCACATAATTTTTTGAAAATTCTGTACAAGAATCGAGTAAATAGTAATTTTTTAGATTTTTTTCTTAACCTACATGAAATGGGAAATCAAATAAAATAAAAAAGAATCACATAGAATTAAAGCTAAGATTTTTATTAAATTGTTTTTACCTAAATTAAAGGGATTTAAAATTTTTTTGAAAATCCTTGATAATCAATGAAACCTTAAAATTTTTTACTAGAAAATCCCTATAAATTGTTTTAAGGTAGACAAAGAATAAGAAGAAAAAAAAATTATATGAAAACTCTTGAGAAAAAAAAAAGAAAAAGAAAATCATTCAGAAAAAATATGCGATTTCTGGCAGTAATTTTTTTTTTTTGAATTCTTTGCAAAATCTAAAATTGTGAAGATTTATTTTAGTAAGCCGTGCAACCTAGCCACTTAGCTAAGTCAACTTCAGGTATTTTTTATTTTATTTTTATTTATTTAACTATTTTATTTATTTATTTATTTGATTATCTATTATTCTTTAAATATATTTTTATAAAAACATATTTAAATAAAAGCCTTACCACTAGATTGGAAGGCAACCATTTTTTTAAACAATAAGATTTTAGCCACATATTAAAAAACCTTATAAACTTTTTTTTTATTTTAAAAAAATAATAAAAAAAAACCTTACCAACATATTGGAGAGCCAATATTTTATTTCTAAAATAAGGTTTTACTAACATATTAGAAAGCCTTATAATTTTTTTAAAAAATTAAGTTTTAAAAAATAATAAAATAATAAAATACTATTTTTTATCTTTTTGCAAAAAATTCTACTAATAGATTGGAAGATGATTTTTAACAAAAAGTTTTACTAATAGATTAAAAGATATTTCTGACTATAAACCCATAGGTATTTATTTTTGAAAGCAAAATTAAGTGAATTCGACGACGGAGCCCTCTTCAAAATAAAACAGATAGTCTTTTTGAATGCTTCTGAGATAAAAAAATATTCTTAAATTATTATCAACATGTTAGAGTAATTTAAGAAAATTTTTTAATATTAAATTATTTGATAAATTTTAAATATGTTTTAAATTTGGATAACTTGAAATCAAATTGATACATCTTTTGGATGAGTGCTGTAAGGGTGCTATAACCTTCCTTAGCATAATCGTATTCCTGGACCTAAATTTTGGTTTTGTGGAATAAAATCTACTATTTAAAGATACCTAAGTTAATATTGAGACTTTTTTTTTAAATAGGATAGATTCAGTCAGGTGACCAATCACACTTTAACAAAAAAATTTATGGTAACTCCTTTAATCTATGTCTAGCCATAAGTTTACAGATCTATATGTTATGATAGTTTGACGACTTCCCTAAAGAGATCAAAAGTCAGGCAAATAAATGATTTCTTGTTATCCAAGCTTAACATAATAAATTTAAGATTTTTTTTTCTTTTGCTTGTTATTTATTTATTTATTCCTTTTATATATCTTCATTTATTTGTATATGTATAACATAAGCTCTACACCTGAGTTCTATCCCTTATGAGTGAGTAAAGTACTTACTCCTTTATGAGATTTAATGTCTCTACATGGGCTAGCAAAAAACTCCTACTCAAATTAAACTTTTTTTCGTTTATAGCCTATAATGGATAAGGATTTGGATGCCTTACTTGTTTATAATGGAAAATAATGTAAGAAATAATTTGGTAACCTTTAGATTGTCAAATCTTTGAACCTAGCATGTAAATAAACCTTAAGGGTCTGAATCTAGGTTAAAGCTACGCCTTCCCTTATGTTAAAAATTCCTAAATAGGACATATGATAAAAAAATTTATTCTGCTTGTAAATTTATATATTATTTTTTCTATTTATATTATTTGCATACTAGCCCTTTATGTTGTCCTTGGTATTTGACATTGTTCTTTGTATATA